ATACGTATTCTTTTTCTTTTTCATGATTCTGAAAAATGTTAAGAAAAATATTTTGGTGAGAATAGGATGGCTTCACAGCGGATAGAATGGCTGAAAAGGTGGGTGCATGCGTATGAAATTTCGAAGTTCAGTTAAGCTGTACAATTCTAATTTTCTATGTAACAAACACTAACATTTCCCGCCAAATAAGTTGGCAACACACTAGCGGTCATGGTCGATCTTGAGCGACGTCGTTCTGATCTTGCATCAGGTATGGTGGGTGTTCTGATTTTTCACCAAGTTCGCATCGAGGATGCGAATGGTGTCACCGTGCAAAACATGGTGCCATCGAAACGACATTTTTTCGTCCATCGTTCTTTCATTGTGAATGAAAACATAACGACCGAGAGTGGGAAGACGAAACCTAATCATCCGGTGCGCCGCCTGCTCCATCCACTCCCTCAACACCGACACTCTGTCCTCAGCCCTCACATCCATCTCCACCTTCTCTTTCGAGTTCACCGGCACCACCAACAGCTTCAACTTCACCGTCCGCGGCGGTCGCGGCGGAGGCTTCAAGTACACGTCGATCTCACGTTGATCGAAATCTACGAAATCCTTCCACAACTGTTCGTCCAGCAATTCCACGTGTTCTGCATGCCATTGCAGCACTACTCTCTCCACTGCAACGGCGCACATCTCTTTCTGTTCAAGAACCTTCTCCTTCAGCTTCAGAACGGTGTCGTTGACGTGCATTTCTATCGGAACACGTTCTTTTCTCGTAGGAACTTTCACTTCCAGCACGATTGTCGACCACTCCGCTGGCGAGTGCACCGCCGTACGTTTCGTCTGCTCTGACGGTTCCGCCGACTCATCCACCGTCTTCTTCTCTTTCCACCGTGTTCTCCACCTCAATCTCGGTGGCAACAGCGACACGTCGTCATCCATTTATAAAGGCTATTGTTGAGAAGTGAGTGCAATTTGAGAAACTCCCTCTACTTACTAGGAAAGTTTAAGACGGTTAATTTGTAACTGTATCTAACAAATGTTCAACATAAGCATCATGATCTTGTTGTCCTTTTCCACAGATTTAATTTCTTTTCAGAACCATCATTCTTGTGCTTTGGTTTCTGAAAACTTCTAAACTTCTCAAAACAAACAAATTATGGAGGGACAAGTTATAACTAATTGGACCATGTATGTTGACACTAGTTACATTAACACACTTTTTCTTAACAGAAGAGTGAAAATAAAAGTGTCATAAATCATTTCAAAATATTTTTTTCCTAACTAACTACTTCCTCTTTCCTAAAATAATTTCGGTTCCCACATTCAAAATGTATCCCAAAATAGATACTGGTTGAATATTTATTATCTTCTAATAAATACTGTTATTTAACAAAAACTTAATTATAAAGTTATATTGAAATTTTTATCCATAAGACATTTTTCTATGTGAAAAAGTTGAACGTGTCAAACATTTTATTTTAAAAAAAGAAGTTATTTGGCACTAGTAACTTTGACAATTCTTTATGGAAATAAAAAATCATAAAAGATAATCTTTTGTATTTCTAAAGAAAATAAAATAAAAAAAACAATGAGGGACAGTTTCAAATGAAAGTAAAATAAAAAAAAATTGATATCAAAGTACTATTGTCCTTTATTTTAATAGAATTGACCTACATATAAATGTTAATTAAGAGAAAAAAATATGATTACAATAATAGAATTTTCACTTAATAAATAATATTTTCTTGAAATTTTAATTTTTGTTTACCACGGGTAAAATAACCTTAAGCATAGGTTATTATTGTCTTCAATGGATTTGGAAGGGAATTCGAGTTTTGCCTTTCACTTTGGGTTATGTAAGATTTATGTACTAATATAACTACCATTTTACAAGCTATTTTTCCAATTTACACTAAAGATTTCAATAATTGATGGGATCTTCAACTCGTTATTTCAAGTAAAACAGTTATGCTAATTCAATGAAATTTAAATTCAGTACAAAATTGGCGTTTTAATTGAATAAATTACTGGGAATAAATTCAAATACTACTTAATATATCTACTAGCAAGCCACGTATTGTTTAACGATTTTTTATTCATAATTAATATTTTCGTTAAATTATTAATTGAAAATAGGGATGACAAATCAATTTGTTTAGGTATGTATCGTATAAACTTGTCCCGATGTTCATAGGAATGATTGGTAGACTAAGTGGATATATCTCATAATGCATCATTCGTTCACTTTTGTATTGTCAATAATATTAATACACTTAATGAAAGGATGCATTGGATGATACCTAGATAAACTTATACTAACATTTTGTAACTATTCAACTACTTTATAATTTTTGAATGGGCTAAAATACTCTTTTTTTTTTTTAAATTATTCAATGTGGTCGTTTATTAATATTATTTTTAATTAAGTATCAATTTTTATTAAAAAAAATTAATTATGTCATTTCCGTTAAATTTATATCAACGGAAACATATCACCAGTAGTTTTTTTGTTTTATTTTTTACTTTTTTCTTAATATTTTTTAATTCATTTCAGTTTTTATCAACGTATCAAATCAGTGTCATGGTATGTGGCAAGTAATTGTAATAAAACACGGCCAATTGATACTTTAGCTTTTCCAGATATATGAACGTATTTAAGATATACAATATTGAAATTTTTAATTCAAGCACAATTGATTTTTAAATTCGTTTTTCACGATTGACCTTTTATTACTAAGTCCGGATAAATATATAAATGACATATATTTTTTAAACGAGGTCCTGTAACATGACATAAAAACTTCTTTTTTAAAATGAAAAATCTTATAAATTAAAATAAAATATAAACAAAATAAAAAATATTTAATCAATCTCTATATTTCATTATGAGTGTTAAATAACATTATCTTATATTTAATCAATCTTTTTATTTATTTTATAATTCAATCCAGTTAAATTATAATTTTTTTAAAGTAAAGACATGTTGATTTTATCCAAAATATAATCGAATTCAATTAACTTACAAGTAAAATTAAATAATAAATTACAAAATTTATTTTATTATTATAAATATTTAATTTATAAAATTTATTAAAACACTTTCACGATGTGACATTGAATGAAAAACTTTCAATATAAAATAATAAAAGATTTAGAAAAGTGATATACAAATGTTGGTGTTCAGTTTTCAACCTGATTCAATATATTACATTAATTTTATAGTGCTTTTACATACCATACATTAAAATGAAGAACATTTTACATTTCTTAATATATATATATATATATATATATGTATATATATATAATATTATATATTTATGAAATACACATTAAATAGAAATAAATTTAATAAATATATGATAATGTCATTAAATATTAATCATAGAATTAATGTAGAAAAATATAACACAATGAAAAAAGTTTCCATAGTAAATTAATAGAAAATAAGAAAAAACCTCTAAAATTAATCTAATTTGTAGTATTTTATCCTTTACCTAATTTTTATATATATATATATATATGTATATATATATAATATTATATATTTATGAAATACACATTAAATAGAAATAAATTTAATAAATATATGATAATGTCATTAAATATTAATCATAGAATTAATGTAGAAAAATATAACACAATGAAAAAAGTTTCCATAGTAAATTAATAGAAAATAAGAAAAAACCTCTAAAATTAATCTAATTTGTAGTATTTTATCCTTTACCTAATTTTAATTAGTCTAAAGTTAAACATTTATTATACTTTTATTAAAATAATCTTAAATGATGCTTAAAATAAAACTAATAAAAAAAGTATTATTTTTCATCTCTTTTTCTCTATTAATATTAAATATTTTTTCTTTCATTCCCTATAATTTAATGTGTTAAGATTAAGGGGGAGAGCATTAACTAAAACTATCAACACTATACTATGTTGAATAAAGAAAACCTAAAATGTTTACAATAAGCACTATTTTAGAAAATTAAACCTCTAAAGTTACATTTCAATTAGATATTTATTAACTTAAAAGTATTTTGTTTTATAATTTTTAACTTATTAGAGAGTTTTTAAATTTGGAATTCACTTTGACTATTGTTGACTAAACCAGATTTGATTAATTTTCTACTAGAGTTGATGTGGCTATCGGTCAAATTTCGATTAAAATCATCCTCACTGTTTTTTTTATGGCTTTTTTTGGCCTAATTCGATTGATTTAAAGTTGGGGTAACTAAATCAAGATTTGACTGTGTTCATCTTAACCAAATTCAAAGTAATTTTAGTCCTAACTCGTTTTAACATTTTGTCTAATTTTGATTCGACTTGACTTATTTCAACTTTTTAATTATGTTTTATAACAAAACCTATATATGTAAAAGATAATTTTTTTCTATTCAATTAATTTTTCAAATAATAATTCAATTTATTAAAACAAAATAAGTAATTTCATTCATTTTGTCTTAAATATTTTGATTCACTTATATTTTTTTATAGTTCAATTCATCTTAACTATTTTTTATTTTTTTATCATTTTTTCTCGTCCATATTAGTTTAATTAATTTTTACCACTCTAATTCTAAAAGTAATTAAGAGTAGTATGACACATGTTGACATTCATTTGACATACCTAAGAAAGGTAAAATAGTCTTGGAAAAGTAAACTTATTTTTTGTAATTTTTCAAGAAAGATGAGAACAAAAAATAAAGAAGGATAATTTCACTAATTTTAATCAAGATTTGTTTCTAATAAAGTTTCATCATTGTAAGTGTCATTCTAACTACAACACTCAATATAGCTGCTATTGTGATCCCTTATACTTGTTGTTGATGATCTTTTAGGTAGATGGAAAAGAAAAGATTTCAGAAGGATACAGAACGGTGACCGGCTTTTTAATTATTAAAAATAAAACCACTCAAGATAAATAAGATAAAGTAATGGCAATAAAGATAATAAATATCGCATAAAAGAAAAAGGAAAAAACCTCTGGGAGGGGCTTTGATGCTTAGAATGAAATCCGCTGGTTGTATTTACTCTGGTTATTATAAAAGAATTAAACAGAAGGAATTAAGATGATGAGTTTGTTATAATGAATCCATCAAAAGTTTCAATGGTATCACCATCTCTAACTCCGTGCCAATGAAATGATTTGTCTTCATGCATATCTTGTTGTCTGTGAATGAAAAAATAACCGTTACCTTCCGGAAGACGGAACCGTAGCCTCCGCTGCAACTCTTCCAGCTTCGGTTTCAACACGGACACCGTGTCCAGAGGAAACACCTCTATCTCGATCCTTTCATTTGTTAGCATCGGCAACACCTTCACTTTCAGCTTCCCAGACTGCGTTCTTCCGCGGCCGGCCGCAGGAAGAGCCGGCTTCAAGAACACATCAATCTCAGGATTGTCTATGACTGAATAATCTTGCAGAGCCACGTGGTCGTTCAATTCCTGGCGCATTGAATGCAACTGCAGCGCGATCCTATCCACAGGCACACCTTGCATGTCTTCGTGCGCCGCAATCTTCTCCTTCAGCTTCCCAACAGTGTCCTCTCTATCCAATTCTATACGGACACGATCTTTGGACTTTGGCATTTTCACGCTCGCCGTCAATGTCGTCATCACCCGCCGCTGCGATAACGACGAGATATCCGGCATCAGAAGCGGATCGTATTCGATTCTTGGAAGTGTTGAAGGTTGCAGCGGTTGTGCCCGAAAAAAGGGGCCATGCATGGGTGGCGGCGG